CATACTCAACCTTTTGTTTGTAGTGCTAGGAATCAAGAACCCATGTACTGTGATTGTTGTTTTTCTAAATCTCTCATCGATATATTATCTATTCTAGTATGACTACTAGCATCCCTCTGCCTGGAGCATTTGGCAATGAGGGTCTGGATGAATTTCTGGTTGTCACACTTGGGCAAAGGAAGGGAAGATTCTACTGAGACATCTTGTGTGTAGAGGCCAGGGATGCTGCTAAACATTCTACAATGCACAAGAGTCCTTTGCAACAAAGAATAATCATTCCCAAATGTCAGTGGTGTTGAAGTGAAAAGACTCATTTCACTGCTTTCATAATTTTAGTTAGAAAAACAACAAGATTTTATTATGTTGCTTTTCTAATTCCCACTACTATATCTACATCTCCAGGTTTGGATTCCTAGAACATTAGAGCTACGGAAGAAAAGGAATTCTGAAACACTACTAATGACAAACAAGCTTCAAGTTCTCAGTTTTGCATCTCTAGGCCTATGGTGGCAAACCTATGGCATGCATGCTGCAGCGGGCTGTTTATATCACTGAAAAAGCTCTAGAAGGTTTGCCATCACTGCTCTAGACATTTCTATTAGACACAATACAGGTTTAGTTTGCAATTTTGATAAAGATGCAAGTGATGATGCAACATACACTATCTCTTCTTGCTTCCTGGGCTGAAGGATATGCTAGATATGCCTCAATAAACTGAACCCAGCACTGAACTCCAGGCTGTATCTGATAGGTTTCTAAAGACTTCAGGAAGGGCATGGAAGTACACACATACACCTCAACAGAATTAACACCCCAGAATTACACAGCTCAGTGATTGTACTACTGACCTCAATTTAGCTGAAATATAATTAGCTTATGGTTCTGAAGTGGAGATGCATAAAGACAAAGAAAACAGATACATGAAAACAATTTGGTATTTTTGGATGATAGTGTTATAGGTAATTTTTTTTGTTTTTTGGTGCCAGGGACTGAAGTTCTTGTGCATGCTGAGCATGTGCTCTATACCACTGAGCTAAGGCCCAGCCCCTGGTAATTTTTTGTTGATTTTTATTTCTAATGTTATTACCAATAATCAGCAGTATTGATAACACCTTTATATAATTAAAACTTTCCAAACTATTCAAGTGCAACACTGTTTCTAATACATAAAGATAGAAGGGAGGCTGAGGCAGGAGGATTCCAAGTTTAAGAGTAGCTTGGGTAATTTAGTGTGACTTTGTCTCAACATAAAAAGGGTTGAGATGGGGCCAGGGATTTAGCTCAGTGGTTCCACAGCCTGCCTCACAAGCACAAGGACCTGAGTTAGATCCCCAGTACCCAAAAAAAAAAAAAAAAAAGAAAAAAAAGGGTTGAGATGTAGCTCTCGCCTAGCATAAGAGAGGTCCTGGATTTAATCCCCAGTAACCAGGAAACACACACAGACCCCTAATTATCTATCAGTAAAGAATAAGTACCATTGGGCCAAGGATTTAGCTCAGTGATTCCACTGCCTGCCTCGTTAGCGCAAGGTCCTGAGTTCGATCCCCAGTACCCCCCCCCGAAAGTACCATATCTATACAATGAAATACTATAAAGCTATTTACAAATAAAAGAACATGAAATCCTAGAAGCTTTATGTACTGTTCGTGTATTGGTAAGAATCTCCAACACATATTAAATGAAAATACCAGACAGACTAATGTGTATAGCATGTCATCACTTTGTATGAAAAGGAGGGTCAGTGGTGGCAGGCAAGAGGATTGGGAGTTCAAGGCCAGGCTAGGCTACATAATGAGTTCAAGGCCAGCATGGACTACATAGTAAAGCTGTTGTCTCTAGAACCAAAAAGGAGGAGGCTATATATTTAATTCATTTGTAAAAAGGAGGTAAATTTTTTCTTTTGGTACCAGAGATCAAACTTGGGACCTTGCACTTGCGAGGCAGGTGGCGGAACCACTGAGCTATATCCCAGGCCCAGGAGGTAAATATTTTGAAGGATCTACAAAAAACTGATAATACCAGTCACCTTCAGAGAGAGGAAATGGATTTCTATGGAGGGAGGAAAAGGGAGGATGGTATCATTTGTATTTCAATTATTAATCATATTACAAATACCCAAGTAAAAAATTAATAAGCAAAATGCCAGTGAATCTCTTAGAGCTAACAAGTAATTACTCTTATAATCAATCTTCTGTATATAGAAAATCCTGATGCTGTGTCAGGCTGAGATTGAAGATAAAATTAAAACAAAGGCACTGAACCAGACAGCTGTTTTCCAGACCTCCACCCTTTTTTTTCTGGTACTGGGGATGGAATGTAGGAAGCACTGAGCTACATCCCCAGCCCACTTTATTGTGAGAGAGGGTCTTGTTAAATTGCTCAGGCTGGCTTTCAACTTACGATTTTACCACCTTAGCCTCTGAGCAGGTGGGATTACTGGCGTGCAATACCACACCAGAAAGGTGTCCCACTTAATATGTGTAAAATGGAGATAAAGGTAGTATCTACATATGGGGTTGTCAGTATGGATTAAATGACTCATAAATTCATTTATTATTACTGCTAAATTTCTACAAAGTTTACAGGGCTACCAAGGAAAATGGTGAGCTCTGAATGTGGACACCCTGGAATATTATTTGTGCTTTGCAGGCAATCATTTAAAGCATGACTTTAAATAAAAAATTATTTACAGACTCTTATGTCTATACAGTATTTACTTATATCTTGTCAAATATAGACCCCTGACCCTATTCTATTTTTTTAAATTTTATTTTTTGGTACTGGGGATTGAACTTGGGACCTTGCACTTGTGAGGCAGGCGCCCGGAACTACTGGGCTAAACCCCTGGCACCCATTCCATTCTTTTAAGGTTTAAAATTTGTTTACTTATACTTCGTTTAAGATAACATCTCTGCAAAGAAGTACCATGAAATATTTAATTGCTGTTTCTCTCAGGGGAAGTAGCTGTCTTCACAGCTTGAGGACTGTTGCAAGCGAAGGAATACTGGCAACACAGGCAGCTCTGTTGACTGCTTGTAGCTTTACTTTAAGAAATTTCAATTCAACAGCCTCATTTAAATTAAAGCGGAAAACCATCATCTCAGGTAGGCCACTTGGCAGGTTAGCCACGAGTTGGCTACCATTATGTACCAGCTTTCTACTGCTGCTGTGACAAGTCCCACAAACTGAGTGGTGTGAAACAAAAATTATCTTATAGTTTTGTAGTTCAGAAACTTGAAATAAAAGTGGAGAAGTGTTGTTTGCCTTTCTAGAGAGTTTCAGAGTCTTTTTTCTTGTCTTTTCCAGCCCCAGAGGCTGCCTTTCATTTATGAAATCTGTAATAGCCGGCTTGGAGTTTTTCCCACACTGTTTCATTTTGCCACTGACTCTTCTGCTTCCCTCTTTTGAGGGTGTGTAATTCAGTGGCCTATCTGGATACTCTCCCTTATTTTAAGGCCAGCTGATGAGCAACCTTAATTCCATTTGAATCTTTCTTTACCTTTTGCTGTGTATTCTAGCATATTTACAGAGTGCAGAGATTAGGATGTAGACATACTTGGGGAAATAATTACTCTGTATTCTATATCTTTCTTCATTTGAATAATTCAAGGCTCATTCATTCAATAAGGTCATTTGATGGAGTACTTAGTACAATAAATTCTCTCACTGACAGGCCTGAGGCTTACTTTTCAAACTTAATGACAAATTATGAATCAGCGTAGTTACTGAAAACTCCTTGAATCCAAAAACCGTAAGTAAAATTTATACATGGGTGATCCCATTCTTTTAATGATTTTTCTTTGTAGCATATACAATTATGCTACTGATGAGAAATTTTACTATGAAGGCAATACAGCCTATAGTGAAAAAGTTAAGTTTTTAAGAGACTGGCAAACTAAAGTCTAAAAATCAATTTACTGGATTTCTCTGAGCCTCAGAAAAATGTAAAATGAAGATTATCTATCTTGAAGTGTTCATTATAAATATTAAACAGGAACACTAGTTTTCCTGACACATTTCACCAATACTAATCCTTGTTTTCATCTGATAATTTTAAGTATCTAACATTCATTTCAATATTTCCACGACTTGCTTTATAGCAGATTATGAAAACATGTAAAGAAATATTAGCCAAATCTCTGCCCTCAAATTAAAAAAGTTGTTGGCAGCATAATACACTTATATACACGGAGCACCTGAAGAAACATAAGTGGTAAGCATAAATGGGTACCATGAATCAGTTAGGGCTTGGTTAGGAAAAATATATAGTGAAATAAGGCTGATTTCCATTTTATCTTTTTTTTTTTTTTTTTTGGTACCAGGGATTGAACTCAGGACCTTATGCTTGGGAGGCAGTCGGCGGAACCACTGAGATAAATCCCTGGCCCTCCATTTTATCTTGAAAGAACAAAACAAGCAAACAAAATATGATCCATATTTTAGGGAGGAAATTTAAGACTGTCTCAATTTTAGGGCTTGATGAGATTAATTTAGGCCAGTAGAATTTTTAAATAATTCCCTGGATTCCCAAAAGTCCACAAATATAAAGGGAAAGGAAACCTAAGCGATTATTCCCCCAAGTTGCTTTTAATTGCCTCACCTTTGGGTACAAGCACAAACTATGAAATCTGGGATTATGTATGGATTTTAAGTCCATAGTTCTCCTGAATTCAATCATAAAATGACAGTGCATTTTGAGAAACAAGCACTCAAAATCCACAGAATCTGACATTTTGGTTTTGTTTTTTTTTTAACATTTTAATAACGATTTGGAAGGATGGAATACAAACTACCAATTACACCCACAAACCTTATCAACATTAACGGTATTGTAAACGATAGCATAGAGGGCTACACTTTCCCTGTGCCTAGGAGCTAATTCCATTCTACATATATCGCCTATTTCAAACACAAACCCCTAAGGCATATTTGCAATTATGTAACTAGATAACTAATTTTTACGCCCAGTTTTCGATAAGGAACTAAGAAAAATATCTTACCGGAAGACACACAAGATTTAAAAGACCAAACCGGGAGTGGCTGGAGCGTGCCTGAGAGCCCAGCACTCGGGGAGCTGAGATAGGAGGATCACAAGTTCGAGCTCAGCCCGGGCAACTTAGCAACTGAGACCCTAAGGAAAAACAACAACAACAACAACAACAGACTGAAGATGTAGCTCAGTGCGAGGGTGGGTGATAAGAAAGTCTTGGCAGATCCAGCACGGAACTGAATTAGAAATATGTGTGGTTCCTTTATACTCTTAACACCAGGCTGCCTAGTGAACTGAAGATATACACTCTCCGAGGAATGCATAAAACACGTAAAAACATCATAGTGTGCGGGAGTTGTATGAAGTTCGAAAAATGTGGGTTAACAATATCAACAAAAACGAGACCACGCTCTGCTGCTTCCTTGGGTCCCGGATCCGCGACGCAGAGCCCAGGAAGAAGCGCCCTGGAGCACACCGCCGACCACTGGCCTTCCTCCCTCCCTCACAGAGATTCGGAGTCCCACTCCACGCCCTCATCGGTAACCCCCCGCGCCCCCGTTCCCTCACCGGTAGTCGAAGATCAGGTCTCCCGGCGCGGTAACCCGCAGACCCAAACGCCGGGCCCGCAAAGGCGGAGACAGCTCGGGTCCTACGGCAGGAAGCCAACCAACGCGCCGTCGCCGCGGCCTCCAACCACCAGCCAGCGGAGGGGCGCTGGGCTACCCCTGACCGGCTGTGGGTGGCCGGCAGGAGGGGCGGCGAGCCTCGCGCTGCGGCGACCAGCCCAGAGAGGTAGGTAGTCATCGGTCTCTACCCGCCGCTCAGAAAGGTCCAGTTGTCAAGGCTAGCTCTACTCGCCTTTGCCCGGCCTTTTCTCCACCGCCCCTGCGGCCGAGGAGAATGGAACGGTCCGCGGGGGGGATTGTGGGAGGCGCACTCGTGAGGGCTGGAGGGAGGGGGGCCGGAGGCGGCGGCGGCGGCCGTGGCGGCGGTTGGTGGCCGTGGGGGCGGGGAAGGGGGAGAGGAAAGAAGAGGAGGTGGCGGAGGAGGAGGAGGCTTGGGCTCGCGCCCGCGCCGCCGAAGGTACGTGTGAGGGCCTGCGCCACGGCGGGTTTGACAGGGCCCGGGGCGGCGCGGGGCCCGCGCGACGAGGCGCCCCTGAGCGGACGCGCACAGGCTGGCGGGCGCGCGGGGCGGCCGGCGGTGGAGGCTGGGCGCGGGAATGAGGAGCCAGATCCGCTCCTCCGCGTGCCGTCGGGCGTGCGCACTTGGCGCCCGGAGCAGGGGGTGCGGGAGAGCGGGAGGGAGGAGCGGGAGAGGGGGGGCCGCAGCGCCCTTGGCTCCCTCCCTCTGAGGAGCCGCCGCCGCTCCGCCGCCGCCGCCGCCGCCGCTGCTCCCGCCGCCATTTTGGGTTCGCTTTGCGGAGGGGGAGACGATCCCCGTTTTGGGCGCGGGACCCGCCTCCCCTCAGTTTCCCCTTTGAGCCCTACGTCTTGCCCTTCTCTTTCGCCTTCCGCCAGTCCGCTCGCCCGCTGGCCGCCTCCTGACAAGGCGGGAGAGAGCCGCTGTGGACTAAGGAAAGCGGAGGCGCCTGGCGGCCACCCCCTCATCCCCACTTCCCTGCACTCTCATCGCTCTCGGCCTCGGCCTCTGACACGGTGAGTGGCGCGGCTCGGGCAGGCCTCGGGGCCTAAGTGCGGCTCGCGCTCGGCGGCTCGGCCCTGGCTCCCTGGATCTGCTGTCACCGCCCGGACCCGGAGCTCGGGGAGCGGCGCGGTGGGGGAGGGGAGGGGAGCGGGCGGGGATCCGGGCTGCCCGGGAAGTCCCTCCGGGCGCGGGCCCAGGGTGTCCCTGACCGGCGGACGGGCTCGGCTCGGGCTCGGGGCGGGAAAGTCAGCGAAGGAGGTGGAGTTGGCTGTGGCCCTGACAGGTTAGCCTGTCTGGAGGCCCGACCCGAGCATCTCCTACCGTCCGGCTGGAGTCCGCCGAAGGGAGGAGCGCGGCCGGGGAGACGAGCTCCCGAGGGCACGCGCCTGTGTGGCGGGGTCTATGGTGCCCCCGCTGCGCCTGTGTACGGGAAGAAAGCGATCTCCGTGAGAGAAGTTTAACAAATGTCACTGGTTAGTTTGTACAAGGAAAGAGATGTTTTTGGTCTGCAAGACAGATGGTCTGTTGGTGTATAGCGGCTGTGTTTGTGTGTTTATGCCAGGGTAGAGAGTGTTCCGGAAGAGTTTCCCTGTATTTGTCTAAGTGTAATGGAGTCCTTTTTATAAGTTAGTTTATTTTTCAGATAAATGTTGGGATATTTCGTGCAGGTTGATACGTGTGTGTATTTTAGGGATTGGGAATGCCTAATTATTTGTCGAGAAAGACCAGTAAAGGCATTATTCTATACAGTGTAGCATACATATCTGCGTGTATTTGGAGGGGGAGAAACTTAGCAGAGCCAATTGAGGTCTTAGAAATAATTTTTGCCTTTGAATATAGAGTGAATTATGTAAATGTGAAGGTCCACAACATCTTTCACAGAGTAATTGCTATAAAGAATGGATAACCTTTTTTGTTGTTGCTGATATGGATTTATAGTAACATTTTACATAGGGCTTTTATATTCAGAATGCTGTTTCAGTTTTTTGTGATTCTAAATCTCAGAAAATGGTAGGGCATATATCTTCTTCCATTTTATGAAATAGGAAATTGAGGCATAAAGAGATAGCTTTTCCAAGATCAGATGTTAAATTGGTGACAAAGTTGAGATATAGCTCGGATATTTTAAGTATACTTCAAGTATTATCCAGAAATACATCCATCATTTTTTAATGCCCCAAGAGGTCTTTATTGGCAAATATGTGTATATTGAAAAGACGGGCAGAAATAACTTGTTGGATTATATTTGACAGAGATCAGTAATGGTAAATATCTATATGGAATATAGGTTGGCTTTGCCTGTGTGACCTGTATGAAATAGGTATCCTTGATTTCATTTATTTATTTTTATTTTTAGGTACCTGGAATCAAACTCAGGATCTTGTGCTTGCGAGGCAGCCATGGTGCCACTGAGCTAAATCCCCGGCCCCTCCTTGACTGTTTTTGTGGAGGAAGTTCTTTCCTCAACTCCTTGCTGTACTGGGAGTGAACCCACAGTCTTTGCCCTAAGTAACACCCCCAGAGGATAGATTGATTGACAGAGCTTGCTAAGTCACTCACTGAGTTACACTGAATAGGCTTGAATTTATGATCTTCCTGCCTCAGCCTCCCACATCCATGCCCAGGTCCACAGGCATGCAGTACCACGCCCAGCTGAAGCAAAGTATATCTGACACATTAGCTTATGTGTTTGAAGGAGGAAAGGCTTTCACAGCTTGTAGCAGAGCCGCTGCATAGGTGCTGACAATTTAACTTAATTTTTTTATACTTTGGCGCTAAAGATTGAACTCAGGGCCTCATACCTGTCAAACATGAGCCTACCACAGAGCTACACCCCCAGCTGGACAGTTTAAATCTTTGGAAGGAAAGATCCTCCTTTATTCACTTAGTAAAGAGTATTTATTGAATTACCTATTTAAGAAATGGTCCCTTCCTTGGGCTTAGAATAATAAAATACCATTATTGAAATAGTCTGGGTGCATATGAGAAGGGAGTTGCCTTGATAGTGGTATGTATTAAGTTGAGTGAGCAGGCAACCCAGTGTGGAATTGAAATCAGAAAACCTTTAAAGTATTGAACTGAGACAGAAGAATGTCAGATTTGAGCTTAGCCTGGGCAACTTAGTGAGACCTTGTCATCCTCTTTTGTTGTTTTTTGAGATGGAGTCTCTGTGTAGTTCAGTCTGGCCTTGAACTCAAGGTGATTCTCCTCCCTCAGCCTCCCAGGTGCTAGGATTACAGTCAAGAGCTACCACATCTGCCTTGAGACCCTGTCTTTTTTTTTTTTTGAGGCAGGGTCTCGCTATATAATTCAGGCTGGCCTTCAACTCATTATGTAGTCCAGGCTGGCCTCAAACTGGAGGTGATCCTCCTGTCTCTACCTCCAGAGTGCTGGGATTGCAGGCGTATGTCACCACACCTAGCTGAAACCTTGTTTTGATATTTAAAAAAAAAAAGACTGGGATATAGCTTAGGCCCTGGGGTTAAATCCCTAGCACCTTCTCTCCCCCCACCCCCAAAATTCTACTTAGTTTAGAGGAAATTTCGGTGTTTCAGAAAATTTAATATGGAAGGTTACATGAGTATTTAAGAATCTAAGCTGGGTGTAGTAGAGTACACCTCTAATTTCAGCACTGGGGAGCTGAGGCAGGAGGATCTCCATGAGTTCTCAGTCACTCTGGGCTACATATTGAGTTCAAGGCCAGCCTGAACTGCATAGTGAGACCCTGTCTCAAAAAAAAAAAACTTAACAAGGTGTTAAGTTTGTGGTAGTATGTGCCTTCTTTGATGTTTTCTTTTGGCCTTTATGCATAAGCTGTTTAGGGAGATCTTATCATTTTGATATATGTGCCTCTGGATATTGGAACTTCTTGGCTGGACTGAAGGAATTCTTTGAAAGACTTAATTTTTTTCTTAGGGTGTGTGTGTGTGTGTGTGTGTGTGTGTGTTTTAGACAGGGTCTCACTATGTAGTTCAGGCTGGCCTTTGAACTATGTATGGAGCCTAGGCTTGCCTGGAACTCATGGCATCCCTCCTGCCTCACTGTTCCAACTGCTGGGATTTCAGGCATGAGTGCACTGCCACTCCCAGCAAAAGATTAATTTTGTAGTAAAGATCCGATCTATGAATATGAAGGAAAAATACTTCAACTAAGTCACCTTAACTGTAGTCCTCTGGAAAATTGAATGTTTTTTAATATGCTAGAATAGTGATTCTTAGTTTTTTTGTTTTTGTTTTTTTGGTGGGGGCTGTCACTTACCTTCTGAGACTGATAGAAGATAGACTCCACATTAGAAAGTGACCATAAGCACAATCACAGGAATTACACATATAATTTCAGTAATTTAAACTGTAATGAAATGGAACCAATATCAGGTCTTGTTTGCCCCTTACCTTAGTTTTGCTTAGGGGTGGAGATGTTGGTATGAGTTTAAGGTAAAAGATTCCATCAATCTGCAGTTGGAAACTAAAAATGATTACTGTAGGCCAGGCGTAGTGGTGCATATCTGTAATCCCAGTACTCTGGGAGGCTGAGGTAGGAGGATCCAAGGTTGGAGCCCAGTCTGGTCAATTTAGCAATTTAGGGAGACCCTGTCTCAAAATAAAAAAGAACTGGATATGTACCTCGATGTGAAGGCCCTGGGTTTATCCAGTACTGCAGCAAAACAAAAACTGCAATTTTTAAAAGAGCAAGAAATTGAGGGAAGATATTTTAGTAGGACATTATAGAATTCAATAAGATAATCTATTCATGAAAAATAGTTTCTCTTCTCTTTGTATTAGGATGGCCATCTGTAATGTAGATTTGTGAAAAGTTGAATTAATTTTCTCCGTTCTTTTTCATTACTGAGAATTGAACCCAGGGCCTTTGCACTGAGCTACATCTGCAGAGATATCTGCCCCCTTTAAATTTTTTGAGACTGCCTCTCACTAAGTGCCTAAGTTGTCAAGTTGTCTGGACTAGACTAGAATTTGTGATCTGCCTGCCTCAGCCTCCTAGTAACTGTCTCAGTGGGGAAAGGTAGAGAATGATGTTGACCCAACATAATTAAAAACTGTGCTCTCATTAATGACAGAAATTTAACTCATAATCTTATTGCTGTTTTACACTTGTGTAAAACATTCATTGTCTAATTTTTCATGTTTGAAGGACCTGTGATGTTTTAATTTTAGCATTGCTTTTACTCTTCATAGTTTTTAGTCACTTACCCTCAAATATATGCAAATAAATGACAGGATTTTTGTTTGTTTTGGTTTTTGGCTTTTTGTTTTTGCCTGTGCTGGGGATTGAGGATGACAGGATTTTATATACTTTTTCACTGAATTTTGTTCGTTGTTTAAATGTGACAAATTTCAGACATAAGCAGCAATAGAGTATAATAAGACTTTATGTACACAATATTCAGCTTCAGTTTTTTTTTTTTCCCCCAGTACCGGGGATTGAACTTAGGTCCTTGAGCTTTCCAGGCAGGCAGTAGAACCACTGCGCTAAATCCCTGGCCCCCACCTTCAGTGTTTTTAACAACATAGTTTTAAAAAGATTATTGCAGGGCGGATTTAGCTCAGTGGCACTGCGCCTGCCTTGCAAGCCCAAGATCCTGAGTTTGATCACCAGTATGGGGGGGGGTGACTGTTTCCAACTGGGTGTGGTGGTGCACGCCTGTGATCCCAGCACTCCGGAGGCTGAGGCCGGAGGATTACCTTGAGTTTGAGGCCAGCCTGGGCTACATAGTGAGTTCAGGGCCAGCCTGAACTACAAAGGGAAACCCTGCCTCAAAAAAACAAAACAAAAGTTTATTACACTTAAAGGTACATTGCCATGAACACCC